TCCCTACAATTATTATCACAGACTCTATGTTCTCATAAAACTGAAGAGCACGATATTTTATGTGGTAAAACTAGCTCATCATAGCAGGACCATGTGGACTGATTAGGGGTCACATCACGACCCTTGAAACATTCATATTTCATGGACCAGTTTGGACCCCTTCAAAATAGTGTTTCAGGTGGTTCCGTTACAAGAAAAGTAAGAGAATGCACATTTGTTAGTAGTTTTAGAACAGCAAATTACTATTCAATGGCACTTCTTTCCCTGAAAAAAAGTCAGTCCTCCTCCCTGCCCCACGGACATTCACTAAAAGGCCCATCTCGGGGCCCAGGGCAGGAGGCCAGAGTTGGGTCTTGCCACATTGCCTGTGGTTGTGAATAGTCAGCAAGCCCTGTCCTTCCTTAAGAAGATTTCCACTGAACACACAGGCAGCTTCTTTACTTTCTACCTTCAGATGTAGTAAGAGAGCAAAGCTCTTCATCTCCCGAACTGTGAACTGTAGTTCCACTTACCTCATTTTCCCATGCCTTAAATGGTTCCTCAAAGACCACTTATGATATAAGGATTAAGATAGTTTGTCCTCTAAAGAAACCAAGCTCTGCTCCAATGCTGAGATGAGTAAACACAGTCTTCACCAGCTACAGAATCTTTTGTACTGATACAGGATGTGAGGGCAAATTTGTTACCCTCATCTGTTTCCTCTTTGTTACTCAACCCTATTATCAAAATCCGATATAAAATTCAAACTTCCAAAGAACATAAATGTTTTTAGCTTCAAAGAATTTAGAACAGTTTCACTGTGGGTAATCATATTTTTAACACGTTCAGTTTCACACTAAGTTGATTTATTAATTTTGACTTTAGTAGGATTTGGCGGAGGGAGGTTATGGAGAACTGACCTTCCAAAGAATGAACACAGTTTTGTGACTAAGAATGGATTTCCCACGGAATTAGTGACTGCTTTTTGAATGCCTGTCTTAACTGTTCAATTGTGATCTCCGCGGGGGCAGGTACCTGGCTTAGCAAGGCATTAATCACATCGCAGGTATTCAGTGCATGTTTCTTGAATGAAAAATGTTATTTCTAAGACAGATTGTTAAAAAGTAATGGGTAAGAAGATGGTTAATCTCTGCGAGTTTCATAAAGGATGTATCCTCCTGTCCAAAGAACTGCTGCTTTGTAAATTACACTAAGAGAATTCTGCTTCTTTTGGTTCTGGTTCCATCAAGACATGAAAGGTGATGATTTCAGAATTCTGTCAGTGCTCTGTCAAGCCCCAAAGATTCTCGAAGTGATTTTCCGGGAGAATATCCTACTGGCAAAGTAGGTCGAATCCATCTGGTGTCTTTTAAAATATTCCAGGTCACCCACTGTCCTCTCATGAGGCCAGGAACTCGTCCCACCCACCTGTTCTTAGAAGGCAACCCATCACTTGTGCTCTGCACCTGCCCTGCTGTGCACCTAACCATCAGGGTATGCCTGCAAGCCATAGAGCTGGAACCTGTATCTTAGCCTCTGGCTGGGCAGGAGTCTGCTGATGGGTGATACACTCCCACCTGACCATCTACACCTGTGTCGGGGACACTGCAGCAACTAAGCAGAGGGTTGGTTGATAGGGTTTTTAGAACTTAGCACAATACGACATTTCCCTTTTGACTGAATTCACCACGATCTTTTTAAAGCAAAAATATATTTAACCTTCTTAGCATGAGGCTGTAGGGCTATAATTCTAATCTTTCCTTGATTTTCTTCCTTCCTAATCTTTTCCTTACAAAAAACCCATCTCGGGGCTGCCCTGGTGGTGCAGTGGTCGAGAGTCCGCCTGCCGACGCAGGGGCGACGCGGGTTCGCGCCCCGGTCCGGGAAGATCCCACGTGCCGCGGAGCGGCTGGGCCCGTGAGCCATGGCCGCTGAGCCTGCGCGTCCGGAAGGGCTTCCCCTGGTGGCGCAGTGGTTGGGAGTCCGCCTGCCGATGCAGGGGACGTGGGTTCGCGCCCCGGTCCGGGAAGATCCCACATGCCGTGGAGCGGCTGGGCCCGTGAGCCATGGCCGCTGGGCCTGCGCGTCCGGAGCCTGTGCTCCGCGACGGGAGAGGCCACGACAGTGAGAGGCCCGCGTACCGCAAAAAAATATATAAAAAAATAAAAATAAATAAAATAAAAAAAAACCCATCTTGGAAACTCAAAAATGAATATCAGCATTTCTACTCACCATTGGGTTTAAGTTATATGGGTGGTTGAGGGTCCAGAGGACCAGGTCATACACCCCTAAGTCTCTCCTTTTGCTTCCAACACCTGGTCTAGGAAAAACAAGTTCTGAATCTCTCTGTGCCTGGAAGTCTTCATTCATAGAGTGGAATAAAAATGCGTGGTCTCTCCTGAGGCGAATGAGATCATAGGTACCAAAGGGCTTTGAGCAACTCAAAGGGAAGGTGTGTAACCCAAACCTTTATTACCTAAGAGACTGAGACCAGGTCAGAAGGGTCCATAGGCTCACAATCATTCTACTGCTTTGAACACTACAAGGACTGGAGAGCTTTCTTTTTCATCTTCCCCACCCTCATGGGAAGAATCTTTTTTCAAGGGTACATCAGTTATGAAGAACATAGTGTCATGAGATACAAAAACTGTCACAGGATGACAGTCAAACAAGGCCTGCACTTTACCTGCCGATCATCCAGACAAGCCAGCCAGTTACTGCTCGGGGAGCTGGCATACAACAGAGTAGACCTAACCACCAAGCGCGGATGTAGAATTCAGAATAAAATTCCATCCCTTGGGGCATATTCCATGGGCTTTTTCTGCTCCTGCTTCCACTGGTATCTGGCCTTCTGGTAGAAGGTGATGATGACCACGGTGACTATGTTTAGAAGAATGACGAGCAGGGTGAGCCAGAATGAGTATCCGTAACTGTGGGAGGTTCCTTGTTGAGTGACTGCTGGATAAAGTGGGTAGAGCCTCTGGGCCAGCTCTTCTGAGAGATGATTGGATTGTGTGTTCCCCACAAAGAGCACCATGCTTATGAATATGAAGGATGCTGAAAGGAAGCAATAGTTTCATAGATAACATGGTGATACATTTTTTAATGTCACTGTTTTCCTTTATCACACGTACTCTATGGGTGTTCAGTCTACACTGGGATTTACTCTCTTTTAAGCATTAGGGGGAATGTAAAAGAAATGAAATGGCGTGAGCTAGATTCTAGGCTCCAAATGCTAAAGACGGTGCAGGGCGGTTGTGGACAGGGACAAACATTCAGCTCAAGCCCTTTCAGAAGGAGCTGCTCTGCCCACTTTCCTGGGCAATGAACCTAGCAGGTGTACTGAATGAGGGATGAATAAATGCCTGAACACAGGGGTCAACCGGGAAACTATCTAGAGAGACCAGCGGGATGGGAAGGCTGAGGAAGGACAAATAGAAAAGGCAGCCCAGACAGAGACTCGTGGTGGTTGATGAACTCAGAGCATCCGGGTCTGTGAGGCACAAGCTCATCTGATGGGGAGGGGTGCTGAGGGTCCTGAGCACAGGATACAGAGGGTGAGCCCACTTGGAGAGCTCTGACTGCCAGCTCGGGAGCTGGGATTTCATTCTACACACAACAGAGCACAGCATTTAACCAGGAAGGATCTCTTTACTAAACTCATTTTAGAAGAGCATTTTAGTAGTGTATATATGTCCATGCCACTACCAAATGTAAAATAGACAGCTAGTGGGAAGCAGCCGCATAGCACAGGGAGATCAGCTCGGTGCTTTGTGACCACCTAGAGGGGTGGGATAGGGAGGGTGGGAGGGAGGGAGACGCAAGAGGGAGGGGATATGGGAACATATGTATATGTGTAACTGATTCACTTTGTTATAAAGCAGAAACTAACACACCATCGTAAAGCAATGATACTCCAGTAAAGATGTTTAAAAAAGTAATAATAATAATAATACCTACCTGGAAGGGTTGTTGTAAGAATTAAATGAATTCATATATATATAAAAAGAAAAAGAAGAGCATTTAAAATTTTTAGCTTCCCTTTTTTATTCTTCACAATGTCCTTCACTAGAGCACATTCCTCCATTTTGACTTTGGAAAACTCCTTTGGCCTAGTTAAGGAACATAGTTCTGGAGTCAGAGAGAGCAGGGCTCAAGGGCTCCAGCTACTGGCGTTGGGAGATGAAGCTTAGCTTCTCTGAACCTCATCCCTCATCTTCCAAAGTGGGCGAGCTAGAGACACAAAGTAGATTCATGGCTGCTTAGGACTGGGGATGGCCTCGGGGGAAGAGTTTCCTTTTGAGACCATGAAAATATTCTAAAATCAACTGTGGTGATGGTTGCACAGATCTGTGAATATACTAAAACCACTGAATGGCACAGGTTAAACAGGTGAACTGTATGGTATGTGAGTCATATCTCAATTAAGCTGTTTAAAAAGGCGGAAGAAGAAAGGTCAGGACGCAGACGTTCCAGACGCGTGATGCTGCTGGTGAACTGTCTGGTGGGGCGGGGCCTGAGCACGCCGGGTGGCTGTCCGGGAATCCCCAGGACAGAGGTCCTTCGGGACACAGGCTGCGTGACTCGTCATCTGCTGACATTTACCCAGAACTAGAAGGACATTTTGGCATCAAACTTGTCCTGATCGTAACCCACACCCAGGGAACGGCCCTCCAGAGGCCCTAGTGAGAGGGCTTCTGCGTGAAGACTTCTCACTCTCCGTGATGACGGTCTTTCATCCTCAACCTAATGGTTTTATTTCTTAATAATAAAAGGAGTGGGTACATACAAACCCCCTCCTCTCTGCGCTATGCGTCTCACACCCCTTAATTATCCTTCATCGTGCTCTTGGGAAGTTTCTAATGAGAGCTTAGTCATAAAGGGGTAGGATGGAAGTGGGTTAAATGCTTTTTTCCGAAGTGGATGCTTTGATTTGAATTGGGAGGGGCCGCCATGGACACGGATGCTGACCTGAGCCCCCTGAAAAAGGGCACACTGCTCACAGCCTGTCGTCCGGCTTCTGGGACAGGAGGGTTATTGGACCTGGAGGGAGCCCCTGGTAGAAGGAGGAGGCCCTGAAGGCTCGGGACACTGGCTTCCCACCCCAGCCTGTCCCCATCGGGCCATGTGACCTGCCGGGTTACTCTCTGCTCTCAGTTCCTGGACTGAGGATCAAATGTGTTGGGACATACCGTCTGCAAGGTTCTCTCCGGCTCCATCATCTCTCAGACTACAGTTCTATCCCCTGGGGTCAGGGTTGCGCCATGCCAGGCTGGGGTCAGAGGCCGCAGGGGCCCGGGAGGTGATGCTGGTATTTTTCTCCTCAGAGCAGAATCCCAGGGCTTCCCTGGTGGCGCAGTGGTTAAGAATCCACCTGCCAATGCAGGGGACACGGTTTGAGCCCTGGCCTGGGAAGATCCCACATGCTGTGGAGCAACTAAGTCCATGCGCCACAACTACTGAGCCTGCGCTCTAGAGCCCGTGCGCCACAACTACTGAGCCTGCGCTCTAGAGCCCGCGAGCCACAACTACTGAAGCCCGTGCTCCTAGAGCCCACGTGCCACAACTACTGAGCCCGTGCACCACAACTACTGAAGCCCATGTGCCTAGAGCCCATGCTCCGCAACAAGAGAAGCCACCGCAATGAGAAGCCTGTGTACCTCAACGAAGAGTGGCCCCCTCTCGCCACAACTAGAGAAAGCCTGCGTGCAGCAACGAAGACCCAACGCAGCCAAAAATGAATAAATAAATATTTTAAAAAAGCAGAACCCCCTCCCGATCCTCCAGAAACAAACGAGCGAACCACTCCCTCTTCCCTGCAGCCAAGGAGAGGGTGTCCAAGCCCAGCCTGGAGAGGGGTGTGTGGCCCTTCCCTCTGCCTCCAGGACCCCTGAGGGCAGCCTGACCCCTGCGCTCTCCCCACGGTGACCCAAGGTAAGGACACAGTGATGGCATCTCTGTGGCCAAAACCCTCTGCAGGCTGAGCCTCCCATGAACTGTTTTCACTAAGTTCTCCGACCAAACATGGGGCCCAAGTCTGCCCTATCAAAGCTGGAGGCTGTGAGGACCTTCAGAGGCAAAGCCAAATGCTGAACAGAGAGGCAAAGTCAAAGTCTCCGAGTGTGTTTCTGCCCAGCTCACAGCCTCTCTGTGTGTCAGAACTTGCCCCAAGCCTGGGAGGGAACGTGGCCGGAGTTTGCTGCCTGGCAACAAGCTTAGACTCGATCATGGAGAAAGAGGCTGAAAGCCTGGGGCTCCCTCCTGCCGAGATGGAGGGATGCGCTCCGAGCCCTGCAGGTGTAGACCGAGGAACGGGGGCCGGCTTTGTCCCGCTGGGCCCACGTCGGACCTTCCCGTCTGGTCCGAGAGCCCGATGTTCCTCTCAGATCCATCCTCCCCAGCTCCCAGGTGGTCAGTCCTCTGCCAAGGGGCTCAGTCAGTGAATTCAACCCTGCCGGCTGTGGAGCTTGCTCCAGAAATGGAGAAGGGCAATTCTAGTGAGAGTCAGATTTGGGGGTAAAAGTCGTCTTTTCTCCTGGGGTTGCTGCATCGGTGGTGGGCCAGGAAGGGCTGGCAGCCCTCTTGCCTTTAAGAGGACCAGCCCAGCTGCTTAATGATAGGGGAACGCTGGAGGAGGACAGAGTTCTGGTGGTGCTGGATCCAGCTGTACCTGAAGCCACAGCGTCCCTCAGCTTCTTAATCATATGAGCAAAAATTAAAATAATCTATTTTTTACCCTGGCAATGAGTGCCAATGAGTCTTGCCTTTGCTTTGGTTGACGGAGATGAGCGAGCATCCTAGAAACAGCTTGGGGCAAGGAACCCTGGCATCTGGATGAGGATCTCTGAGTTCAGAGCCAATTCCCTCAGCTCCACTGTGAGCCAGGAAGCAGGAATACTCATTCCACGGGACTGTTGTGCCTGGCCCACAGCAGATGCCCTTTAAATTGGGGCATTTGTTTGTTTTTACCACCGGGTAGTAAAATCACAGAAAGAAAGGAAAGGGCTAGTCATGTGTGGATGTGGCCACACCAGCCTGACACCAGACGCTCAGAGCTGAGGGGTGAGTGTGCGACTTGGCCATGGTGCAGGCTTGCCCAGGGCAGCCCAAGTTTCCACCATTGCAGTGCACGGTAGTTATGAATTGCGCTTGCTCGAGCAGTGAGTTGCATGGCTCTCCCTTGTATCTGTGCTGGGCTGGGACTGGCTCACACATCTCCTCAACCATTAGCTTGAAAAAGGCCGCAGTGGAAGTGTTTACACACTCGCACCAGCCAGGGCTGTAGTCAGGGCTTCCCTCCCCCAAGAGCCGGGTGTTCATTCTCAGCACAGCACCGCTGGGAGCCACAGCACAGGGGTCCCTCCAGCCACCTGCAGCGGCCAGTGTGAGGATGGCCTCTCAGCAGGAGGACAGGAGAAAGCTGCTGCCCAGAGCCCCTCCTCTGAGGCTTCCTTACAGCCTAATATCCAGGGCACCTTTCTTTGTCCCTGAACGTTCCTGGTCTGTGTTAAAAATGCACCACTGGGCTTCCTTGGTGGCGGAGTGGTTAAGAATCCACCACTGCAGGGGACACGGGTTTGAACCCTGGTCCAGGAAGATCCCACATGCCGCAGAGCAACTAAGCCCATGTTCCACAACTACTGAGCCTGTGCTCTAGAGCCCGTGAGCCACAACTACTGAAGCCCATGTGCCTGGAGCCCATGCTCTGCAACAAGAGAAGCCACTGCAATGAGAAGCCCGCACACCGCAACAAAGAGCAGCCACAGCTCGCTGCAACTAGAGAAAGCCCGCGTGCAGCAACGAACACCCAACGCAGCCAAAAATAAAATTAAAAAAAAAAATTTATAAAAATAAATAAATAAATAAAGTAACCCATTTTTTAAAAAAATGCACCACCTGTGGCTTACACGCGAGCACCTCCAGAGCCGTCCAGTTAGTAGGATGGGCTGCTTCTGATCCGATCTCGAGATCAGGTTCTCGTGGAAGGAGGG